ACAACATGACAGTTAATTTCTACGTGTTTGGTGTGCTCATGATATACTAGATTGGAAGCAATATGAAGTGTAGTCTAATTATCACAATACAAAGGAATTAGAGTAGATATAGGAAAACCAATATCATTTAAAAGATATGAAAGTCAAGTGATTTCACAAGCTACATTGACCATTGCTCTATACTCAACTTCAACAGATGAGTGAGAAACTACATTTTGCTTCTTTGATTTCCATGAAACAATGTTAGTGCCCAAAAAGATACAGTAACCAGATGTATAACATCAAGTTGTGGGATAATTAGCTCAATTTGAATCACAATAAGCAAAAAGTGATATATCTAAATCAGATGGAAAGAATAGGCCTTGTTGAAGGGTTTCTTTTAGGTAATGAACAACGCAAACAACAACATCCATGTTCAAAGGGTAAGCAATGTCCTGGCATGTTACTATAAGATAAATTAACCGACCCACAAGGTAACAATACAGAGAAGGATCAAGTAATATAGTACCTTATGAAGGAAAGTTTTAGATTTTGATCCATAGGAAAACCTACCAGTTTTGAACTAGTAAGGCCACTGTCAAGGATGATATCAAGATCATATTATCTTTGGGACAAAAATAGGCCCTTCTTAGAAGTGTGCAAAAGGTCCTTAACCAAGTCAATGAGTGAAGAATCAAAACCTATAAGGATGATGTCATCAAAATAAAGGAAAGGAAACACAAATCTAGATTTTCGATGCAAGCAGAATAGTGAATGATTAGCAGTACTAAGAGTAAAACCAAAATTAAGAAGAACCTTTGAGAATTTTGAATGTCGATTTCGTGAAGCTTGCTTAAGATCATATAAATATTTTTTTAGTCTGCAAAAAAAGATTCTCTATGACGACGAAAATCGGGAGGCAATTGCATAAAAACATCCTCATGTAGATCCCCACATAGGAAAGCATCATTAACACTAAGTTGATGAAGGGGCCAGTGTTTGGTAGCAACAATAGAAAGGATAAATTAGACTATGATGAGTCTTACAACCAGGGAAAATGTTCCAATGTAGCTAACACCTTCAACTTGGGTATAACCTTTTACAACAAGTGATGGAGAAGATAGGAGGAGTGAATGTTATTCTTCTCCTATTCTTCACCTAGGCTTGGATCTTCTTCAAGGAGCTTGAATCCGAAGATGGAGAACTCTGGAATGTTGAAGGAACACGAGTGGAATGAGGTCTAGACTTGGATGGAAGCATCCAAGCTCAAGCATCAATGGAGAGCACACTTCAAAGAGAAGGATTCTAAGGTGAAATCCTAAGGTTTTGAAGATGAACTATAAAGGACTTTTGAGAGAGGAAACTCGGCCAATGGCTCACAAATTTCTATTAAGATCAAAAGTGAATACAAAAGGTGAAAGAATGGCTTAAGTATGCACGGAATTGTGACCCATAGGTGCCTAAACTAAAGCCTCACAAAATGGCGCCTAAAGTTTGAATTCAAATTTGAATTTTGAATTCAAACTTTGGTGCACATGTGTAAGTCCGAAAATTTAGGTACCAAGGTGCATTTAGGTGTGATTTGAGAGTCATTTAGGGTTAATTTGAGTGGCACATGTTCAGCCACCCATGGTGCTAAACATGTGACTCAAATGTAACTTAAATGACTTCCAAATTAAACCTAATTTAACCTAATTAGCATACTTTAGTATTCCTTGTATTTTCCTATTCTAATGACCTAATTACATTGGTCAAACAATTACAATGGAAAGGAAAAATTACAAGAATGAAAATGAGCCCAATATTGGGTACCAAAAGCCCAAAGGCCCATGAAGCCCAAAACTAGGCCCAACTAGCCTAAAACCTAAAATGCTACTCTATGTGGTCCAAAATACAAGACCAAAATATATGATACTTATACTAACATGATGTATACAAAACATATGAAAATAGCTATAACAAACTATGGCCCATGAAAAGTTCAACTTGGGCCTGAGGCCCATTGGGCCCTGACTGACCCAAACCTTCATGTCTAGCCAACTCCTCTTGGTTCTTTGAGTATGTCACCTCTTGCACTCCAAAGCATGATTCCATCAACAAGCCTTGCTTTATACTGTTGGATACTGCCATTTGAATTCTATTGAATTTTGCATACCCATCGACAATCAATTGACTTCTTCCCGATTAATAATCATATTACGAACCAAGTGTTGTTCTCATGCAAGGCATTAATCTTAGATTGCATGGCATTATGCCATTTTGAAAAATTCTTAGCTTAAAATATGGCTTCTATTCTATATCAATAGACAAGGTAGAAAGAAAAAAATAATGGGAACGTGAAAAACGATGATATGATAAAAAAAATTAGAAAAGGGGTAAAGATTACTTGAGTCATTGAAAGAAAAGGGAGATTGTGATGAGGTGAGAGAACATATAAATTCATTAAGATGACAAACGTGATGTCTTGTACAAGAGAAATGATTTGGAACAAAAGGTGGGGGATCGACATTAATAGGTGATATAGGTTGCTCAATAAATGATTATGGTTGTTCAAGTTCCTTTGTAATAGGGAATGACAAAATAGGATTAGTTTTTTTTAATAAAAAAAGGATCTCATAAGGTGTGCGACTTTAGAGAGTTTAAGTAGGTAACCGATTAATTAGGTAGGTCATAGTTGACACAAAATCTCCATAATAATCTAAAGGTAAGTTGGATTGAAAATGTAAAGCACGGTTAGTATTTAATAAGTATTTGTGTTTACACACGATAAACCATCCTATTGTGGAGTATAAGAGCAACTTGATTGGTCACAATTAACACAAAATCTCCTTAAACCTTAATTAATATTTTTTATATAAAAAACATAACCATCATGGTGAATTGGAACAAATTAGTTATCACATGATTTAATAAAATGTAGATACTTTAGTGTATGAGTGAAAAAAGGAAAAGATCAAACACTATATGATTTGTAGCACCTAAATCAAAAATTCAAATGGTTGAATGAGGTTTAAAAGAGATAAAACAACTAAAAGAAGTACTTGAAAAGTTTGCAACTAGTTGTTCATTACCATTTACCAATGTTAATAAGAGAAAGAAGTTGTTGAATTTGGGATGGAGTCAAATCATTTTAAGGTGTAGAATTCAAAGATAAGGTAATAATAGTAGCATTGGAATGAGCTTGCATGGAGTGAGATCCAGAGTCACGACCATGATGGGTTCAAGTACCATAGCAGGGTTTGTTATGACCAAGATTATGTTTCCACTAGGAAGGATATCTAATTTTTGAGTAATAATGACTATCGGAGTGACCATCAACATTGCATATGGAACAATGAAATTGAGGCTTAAGTTTGGCACCTCGAGATGAATTTGATCTTTGAATAGTCATGGTTGATTGATCTAAGGGAATAGATCGAGAATATGATAATGAACATTGACATTCTTCTTGTAAGAAGAAAGAATATGCTTTGGCCACTAAGGAAGAGGATCCACGAGAAGAGTTTGATTTTTAATAGAAGCATATGAATCATTTAAGCCTTGAAGAAAATCCATAAAATGATCAGTATCGTAAATGTTGTTAAAATTTGGAACAATATTGCAAGCACAAGTTGGAGGTATGCAATAAGAATCAAGTTCATTGTGATAAGCCTTCGACATGGTGTAGTAGGCAAAGATAAAGTTGGTGTCTTGGGAGAGGTTAGAAATTGCTCTATGAATTTCAAAAAAATTTATGGGACATTTTTCTAATTAAAGTGAGTAAGAAGATCAAGTCAAGTATAACAAGCACTATTGATCTAGAGAATGAAATTTGCAATGATTGGGGTTATGGAATGGGCAATCTAAGATTGGACCATTCTGTTGCAACATACCAATTTTTTTTTTTAGTGTGTGGGTTAGGTTTAGGGATGCTACCATCAATAAAACCAAGTTTGTTTTTGGCCTCTAATGCCATAATGAATGCTCGACTCCAAGTTGGATAATTATCACAATTGAGAAGTTATGTGACAAATGGTTGACTAAGTTGATTAGAAGATTATAGATAATATTTAAATGAAAGGTCAAGATTGATGACAACCATGTGAAAAATGTCTAAGAACGAGATTTAAGTTGATACCATGTAAAAAATATGAAAAGAACAAATATGATAGCCATGTTACATTTAACTATAGTTGAGGGGACTCCTTCACAGCAACAACAAGGAGAAATCGCCTCAACTACAATTAGATGCAATAAATAATATTAAAGATTTAAAAAACTCATGATTGATTAAAGTCATTCTCATGCTCGCATACAATACTAACATAACAACAAAAAACTTTTATGTATAATTTTTATTTCTAAAATTATTATTAAATAATAATAACCGCGTATTATTACGAATCTCTTTTGTTTATTTATTTATTTACTAATATTTAATAATTATTGAATTATTATTTTATGTTGCTGTAATATTTCAGCTCTATTTTTTACTATGTGTATTTAAATTAATTTTAAAACCATTTAAAAGATAATTAGTTTTTATTAAAGTATTTTAAACAAAGAAATTTATGTTTTAAAAAAGTTAACACTAAACAACAATATTTATAGGTTAATTTTGTTCTTAAAATATATTGTTATTTTTCTTAATAAGTAGTTTATTTTATTTTAATATTTAATATTTAAACATACTATTCCAATCTTTATAAACTATTAAAATTGTAAACATTTACTAATTTTTATTAAAAAAATCCATTTCTATTTATTATATATATATTTTTATTATATACCAATATTATGATTTTTATTAACTTATTATTAACTACAATATGATTAGTGACTAAAAATTTATTTAATAAAATAAAATACCTATTTTTGAAAAAAAGAAATAATTTTTTAAATTAAAAAGAGAGAGAGAGAGTTGCATGTGAATAAATAAAGGAAGTGGCAAAACAAAAATTCAAGAAAGTTCTGTTGCCAAAGCTTCACACCACAAACCCTAATCCCCTTGTCTCTTATCTTCTTCATCTCTCTCTCTCTCTCTCTCTCTCTGTTTTTTCAGTTCAATTGTTCAGCTCAACCCTTAATCTAACGCTCGATCTTGTTTCGTCCAGGCACCACTGCCGACGACCTATTCCCTCTCTTCGATAAGTATGGGAAGGTCGTTGACATCTTCATTCCCAAAGATCGAAGGTAATTTCATATTTCAATTTATTTTCATCCTTTTATTAATGCATTGTTTATTTATTTATTTATTAACCTAACATTTTTGCAATTGTGAAGGACCGGTGAGTCGAGGGGTTTTGCTTTTGTGCGTTACAAGTATGCTGATGAGGCTCAGAAGGCCGTTGATAGGCTTGATGGTATGCTTATTATCCATCTCGTTGTCCTTTTGTTGTTTGATTAATTATGCTCATTTGAATAAACAAATTTTAACTTTTCAGGAAGAATGGTTGATGGTCGTGAAATAACTGTCCAGTTTGCGAAATACGGGCCTAATGCTGAGAGGATGTAGGTTTCTCAATTGTATTTTGTTGTTTATTAATTTGTTCGTTTGTGTTGTAATTGTTATGCTGTTGAATTTAAACCTTAGCTTTGTTTACTCTGTTTAACTACTTGGGTGGTTTTTTGTTTTGTTGTTTTTGAAAATGAAAATTATTTGAGTTATTTTGCAATCCCTTTTCCTTTTGATGTATTTGTCATTATTCGAATTGATGCTACTCTTGAGAGACATTTTCTGTGGTGGTATCTTAATTTACAAATCTACCATGCCGGTATGTTTGGGCTTAACATTCACAGTAGCCGTGGTGCTGCTGCTGATAAGAATTAAAACATCTAAGTGGTATTATCATTATTTTCTCTCTCAATAAAGATTTTGGCGAACAAGTTAAAACAGTTGGTTTATGAAAAGTACCCAAATAGACTCTTGCGTTTTGGTCTTTTATTGCCAAAAATAAATAATTTGAAGAACAATAGTCAGACTGGCCTTTTGCTATGACTTTCTCCATTTTCTTGCATGATATTGACCTATTTTCTTGTAGATTCTATGCATTTGTCCATTGCTTAGTTAACCTTTTCAATTTGTAGTCACAAAGGAAGGATTATTGAAACAGCCCAGAGATCAAGGCACAGGTCAAGGAGCCGCAGTCCCAGGAAAAGGTATGCTGTTTTAAATTTCCTTGCTTCTTTTTGAGTGTTGGGATTTTAGTATCTTGAGAAATTTTGAACTACCACTGTCAAATTGCTTTTCTTGGTGATACAACAAATTGGACAAGTGTGTTTTGATTGCTTGTGATGAGATGAGTGAGATGTTTCATGTGATTTCTTAGCTTTTGTTTTTACGTTGTGATGGGTGTCAGCACTTTATAGCTAAAACCATCTTTGGGAGTCTTCATTGTTAGATTGAATGCTATGTTGTTGTGACAATCAGTTGCTGTTTCATGCAATATAGTTCTGGACTTTAATGAAATGTTAGGTTACTTACTGATTTCAGCTCATTAACTTGTCCTATTGAAGGAATCTTGTACAGCATAAAATGAAATATGGTGGATACAGTGTCATAACATGCTTATAGTAGATTTTACTTTTTTTTTTTTTGGGAAAAAGTAAGCAGATGTTTTTTGTTGATTAACGTTCGAGATTGCTCCCCCTTCCACAATTATCATTTATGCTATGACTTTCAAAATTAGCATAAAATTATGTTGTGGGAAATATTTTCAACAGAATAGTGTTTGGATTACCATATTTTGTTTTGTTTTGTATTTTTTTTTGCATATTTTAGTTTTCGAGAAAACATGTTATTTACTCCCCAAAACAATTGATTATTGAATGTGCCAAATTCTATTTATCTGATCATTTTGAAAATTGTGTTTGGCATTTAAAATGGATTTTTGATAGCCAATGTATTGTTTAATGTCAATATTTGCAGGTATCGTGATGATTACAAAGACCGGGATTATAAGAGGAGAAGTCGTAGCAGAAGCTATGATAGGTATGAACGTGACAGGCACCGGGGGAGAGACAAAGATTACCGTCGCAGAAGCAGGAGCCGAAGTACTAGTCTTGATTACAAAGGTCGTGGGAGGGGACGCCATGATGATGATTATCATAGTAGAAGCCGGAGCAGATCAGTTGATAGGTTTTCATTCATTGATCTAGCTCTTTTAATTGTGTTTTATTTATTTATTTATTTATTATTATTTGAACCTTGCGTTGTTATTCTCTATAGCCGATCCCCTGCACGACGCAGTCCTAGTCCTCGAAGGAGTCCTTCCCCTCAAAGGAGCACTTCCCCTCGAAGGAGTTTTTCCCCAATGAAAAGTCCACGGGGTGAAAGTCCTGCGAATCGTAGCCGTGATGGACATTCTCCTACCCCTCGCAGTGTCTCACCTCGTGGTCGCCCTGATGCTTCGCGAAGCCCTTCCCCTCGTAATTCAAATGGTGATGTAAGTAATGTTGGTCTTGAACATGGAGTAATAAAATTGCCTACTTTGTAGTAAGCAAGGTATTTTTTTAACCTTTTGTGACTTTTCAATTTTGTTCTCTTGCAGGAATAAGTTATGGATTTTTTACATGAAAAATTCTGCGGATGCTGGACTATTGCACCTGTAGCTGTTTTGCCATTGTTGGATCTTTTAGTCCATGTGAACGGTCTTATCAGAGTCCTTGAAGGATTTTATGATCTAAGTGCTGTTTGGTAGGATCAGACCTCCTTGATGTTTGAGTGTTTTTATATTTGGACTTTGCTATGTTGTCTACTTCAGTTTTCAGTGACTATTAGACCTTGCAGTGGATAGGTTAATATCTCATTTCGAGGGGTTTTGCCATTTTATTTTCATACTGTTTGCATTTTTCTCTCTCCATATTTTCATTTTCATTCCCACTTTATAGGAAGGAATGGCTGTGATCTAGTTAAAGCTCAGTTAATTTATGTTGAACAACTTATTGGGTTTTATAGTTATGATCGGGAAAGTGATGGGGGGCCTGATAGGCGCATGTTGACTTTGTTGCTGTTGATGCTGTTTCTGTGTCCTTGATGATTGGTCGTGAATTCGATGCTGGTTGCAAGAGTATGCTGGTTTTAGGACTGTGATTGTTTTACCAGTTTGCTGATTAGACAGACAATTAGTTGACTTGATTTTCCTGATTGATCTGATCATTGGTAAGCTTTTTTGGTTTACGTTTTTGTTTCTTCTGAGAACCCTCATAACCACTGAGAATTCTGATCTTTGATCTGGTAACCGTGTTTGGTGTTCATTGGAAAAAGAAAGTGCCCTGAAAGGGATTCTTGATGCTGTGACGAACACAAGTTGAGCATATTTTGACATGTAGCTGATGCCTCGTAGGAGTTGGACCTGTCATTTGTTGATTCAGATGCAGACATTTAACATAAAACTGTGGGTACTAAATGTGAACGTTAATGTGCTGGTGTTTATTTCAAATCACAGTGAAGGGAACAATGGTAACACATTCATGGTTACTTTTTAGGATATTTTAATGGATAGTTTTTAACATTGACCTTTCAAGATTATAATATCTGCTACTTAATGTAGTTGAGATACGTTTGTTGTAGCACACTGCTCCATGACACTGTAGCTGTGAGGTGGTAGCTGATGCATCTTTTATATGAAATGCATGTGTTCGTGAATAATACGAAGAACTAACCAATTACGTAGCTGACTGTTGCTGCCCTTTTTTGCTGTGTTCGGGTTGGCAATGGTATTAGCAGTTGGTACTGATGATGGCTGTCTAGCTGTGCTGCTGGTTTCTGTTGATTCCAAAGCCGCGTGACAGAATTGTTTTTCACTATTGAACTGGTGATTTGTTTTTGTAGCTTAATTTCAGTTTTTCATCTTTTTTCTTATGGCATAAAAAGGTTTATCTCTATTGCTTGTCTGTTGTTGCTTTGGCATTGTGGTCTCTATGGCAACATTGTGTTTTGGTTAACTGTTTTGCAACTGAAATAACAACCATTGTTTTAGAGATGTGTTTCTCTTAAATTTGTAAGTTTCCTTGGGTTGTGGGTGAGTTTTTCAATTTATTACATTTGTTGGCCCCTTTGAGTAATTGGGCTGTTATCTTGTCAGAGTAAATCTATATAATTGGGGTTTGCTTTGTGGTGATCTGGTTAAGATTTTCAGTCCTGAACATATAATAAAAATGTTATTCTTATTTTTTCCATGAGTAATGAAATAATACAACAAAAATTATAACATCACTTTTATGTCTATCTCTTTCGATTACTTTATCTCTTTTAATTACTTCATTTAGTATGGAGGGATATTATTACTTCATTTAGTATGGAGGGATATTATTAAAATTTGAGATATAAACACAAAAGTGATACTTTACAAGTTGTACAATTTTTATTATATGTCTTAACATTACTATTTTTCCATTGGAATCTTGTGTTTATGGTAATAGGAGTCAAGTGTTGTTGATAACTGTTAGGATTTTAATTGCAGTTTTCCTAACAAGGTCTTGCTTCGAGATAGACCAAATCTCCCAACACTACAGCTACCAAAAGAAAGGGAATAATCTCTTCTTCATTTCATTTCATCATGTTAGAATAAATACAACTTGAAAATTAGGGTAACAAGCACCCTCCAGCCAAGGCCCAATAGTTGATAAAACTATTCTAACTTTTTTTTGAAAGAAAAACTAAACTATGCTAAAACATAATTGGGCTTATAAGATAGAAATTGGGTCAACTATTTTAATTAAAAACATAATCTTTATGCCAACTGGGCTTCTGAGTGCTTCTTTTAGCCCGTTTTTCTCCACTTCCTTTGGTTGCACTTAGGCTGCTATCAATAACCTCGGCACGGTGCTGTTGTCTTAAGTGGAGACAATTAATTGCTTCGCGTTGTCGAAGCACAATGAGAAAGACATGTGAAATTTGAGCTCCGAAAATACCCAGTATTAATCTGGTGTATAATTGGATTTTCGCGTATGATTTTCTTGATTGTTATTTCATAGAATGCTTCTTGAACTTGTACCCTCTCCATCCCTCGTGCGTATGACTAACTAAACTAAAATAGCAGGCGTAGTTAAAAAGGACACAATCGAGAGATGAACCAAATCTGCATCTATTTATAGAGGAATTTTTGTTTGTGTATATTTTATTCGGAACAATTTTAACTTTTTAAATATAAATAAGAAACTGTTAAGTGGAGGTTATGAAATGTTATAAAAGCCTTTTAGTGTAATAATTGTAAACTAATTTATCAACCTGAGTATAAGCAGAAGTAGGGAGTGCCTTTTTCTATAATAACATGAAATTATATTTTTAAAATTTTAAATATAAAATGTCTTAATTTAATTTTTATTTTTATTTCATAATTAACTTTTATATATTAAAGATAAACGTTTTTCTTGCACGAGAGTGTATTCGAAGATTTCTAATGGATATGAAGATATTTAAGATTTTTTTTTTAATTTTTTTATCTAATTTAATTTTTATTTGTTATAATTATTTATTAATTAAGTTTTAATGTTTTAAAAATAAATTATTGATAAAAAAAATAAACTAATGTTATAACATAAATTATTTATCACAAATTTAAAATATAATTTATATATTTAAGTATAATATTTATTTTTATATATAATTTATTATAAATTTTAGTTGTATATAAATATTATATATATATATATATATTAAAACTAGTTTAACTATATTAACATATTGATATATTATGTTAAAAATGTTTAGTTGATAGGATTTTGTTTTACAAATTTTGGATTTTGATCATGTCGGTTCAATTTTAGGTTTAAATTAAAAAGTTAGGTACAAAATTTGGACTGTGTAAGATAGAAATAAATTCAATTTAATTCATTCTTTGCTCATCTCTAGCCGTATAAAAATTGATTTGACTATATGCAAATTGGAAAAAGTGAATATCTAATTACAAGAGACTAGCTTTTTATCTAATTTCAGATGTGACTTTGAAGACTGATATAATTTAATCCAAATACATGAATATACATTAAATTTAAATACTAATTTTTTTATGGTCATATTTCTCCAAGTTGCCTTTTAATATTTTAGTATGTTTAAAGTTAATTAAATTTAAACCTTAAAATTGTTTTTATTTCTCATGTTTATGAGCTTATCTATTGTATACTTTCGTGTTTTGTATAATAAAAAATAAGCTTTATTAAAAACAACGAGATAAAGTATTTTTTAATTTTCTACTTGTAAAATAAAGCAAAATAAAAAAGAATTCTACATTGTATTTTATTTTATTTTTTTATTTCTCATGTTTATCTACTATATACTTTCGTGTTTTAAAAAATAAAAAATGAGATAAAGTAATTTTTATTGCCTACTTGTAAAATAAAGAAAAATAAAAAATGTGAATACTTGATATTTAAAATTCATCTTTATTGTAGTTGATTTATTTTTAATTCATTTGATATTAATTACATGTTAAACAAAAATATCTGAACTATTTTTTTTTTTTAAAAGAGACCACGGATTTCGAGTATTCAATGCGGATCTGAAATTCCAAACTTCTATTTTTTTTAAAAAAAAATCCCAAACTTCTAATTAAGCTGTAACAATTGTGCGGTAATTGATACAATTGTAAAGAATACAATAAGTAATCTTAAATTATTGATTGAAATTGAATGTAAACATACAATAGATAGAGGTGTTGAGAAATCAATACTTATTAATAATTGACATTATTTACTTTACCATCAAACCCTTAAATGAAAAATTACAAAAGTTGAATCAATTAGTTTAATTTAAATTACTCTTTAATGGATTTAATTAGAATAAATTTAATTTTATATTAAAATTGATCTGAACTGAAACTTAACATATTTTCACGATTGGGTCAACTTTTTTTAAAATTAAAAAAGGATTATGCCGATAATTAAATCCAGCTACAGAAGATATTTACAACTTATCAGAGATTAGAGCTCAATAGTCATTGCTTAAGCTTGCACTGTCACTGTTTGAGAATTCTGAATGGATCGAAAATTTTACTTCGTTACGTATTACTATTTTTATATAACTTGCAATTAAAGGTAAGTGCTAAAAGTGATATATTGGCGGTAACTAAAATTAGTGAAATATAAATTATCTGAACCACAAGAATTAGTTAAATTACAATTGGAGTGATAGTGTGTATTGTGTAATAATATCACTCATAGTAGGGTTAAGTAAGTTGTAATGACTGCGTGCATGGTACAATGCGTGACCGAATCAGACTACAAGAATTATAAACCCCATTTTGCTAAACGTGAGTGTTTGAATCAGTGTTACCTTAAGATTGTGAGTGTAGCATTCAGTTGAACATAAATTAGAAAGTGTGGTTTGAGTGAAAAACAAAAACAATTATTATTTACCAAATGATCAAGTAAATGATCAAATGCACCATCCTATAACAAACATTGCTGCTGTGTCGTCTTATTAGTCGATAACACTATGAATAGAAAAATGCTGTTCAAACAGGAGTAATGTCAAAAAGGGTATCACATATCACCTAGCAGTTGACTCATCAACTAAACATCAATAGAACAGTCAAAAAGATGGTATGAATTCATTATTATCATGCTGCTTCTCAACTTGACGAGTTTTTTATGGGGTAAAAAGGCACAACTTATAATTAAAATAGAAGAATTAAAGCAAAAGTTGTGAGAGTATCTTACTGCTTTAAACATGTGCTAATCGTATAGAGTTGGTCTAGTAGTGGTTAACATATTAGTAGGTGTTGATGAGGGGTATTAAGAAGGATGCGATTTTAGAAGGCAGTTGTACTTGTTGTACCCCAGTATTTTATTTTTTTAATCAACTGTACTCCAATATTTTAGGTTCTTAAGTAAACAGATTCTTAAATGCTCATTTTGTAATTTATTTTATGTTATATTTTTTAAATTCAATCTGCCCTATGTGTCGCAGCCAGATGCAGACAAAGGGTGAGAGTTTGAAATTTGTAGTAACACTAGAGGCCTCAAAATTGAATTGGATATGTCTCTATTACACTTTCTAAAATATCTTCATTGCACATTGTGATTGGTCATGATTTGTATGGAAATGAGAAGCAAAATGATTACAAACTAGTGTATATATCTATCATCCCACACAGGACAGAAGATATTAAAGCCCAAAGAAAAAGCCCCCCAAAAAAGAAAAAAGTATATCCAATTTGGTGGAATTGGGGATGAGAAAAACTAGAAGAAGCTAAAGGGGTTGAATCTCAAACTGGCATAATTGGCACTGACATAAGCATTTAGCAACTCATTCTGGGCAGACCAGAAATCAGCCTTGAGACCCCCTCTCCTAATTGCTTTTAGGATTTTGTTCTTGTGTGTGTATCCTGTGACCACCACCTTCTGACAGTTAGTATCCACTTCCACTTTCTCTATCCCTGTTTGTGGATCCACAAACAATGCCACGCATTAATACAACAACCAACTCATAATTATTGCGACACTATTAGCAAAATGAATCTCTTTCAATTAAACTAACCTTTTAATTTTGATAGGCATTTCCTTAGTCTTTTCTCATGTATACAAACCATCTCCACTTTTAGCTCAACAACCTGCAAAGCAAAACATTGTATACATGAGACTAATATTATTTCCCAATTAATCAGGCCATGGTGATACCCTTTTAGTTCATCTGGTAATATTTTTTTGATGGAGTATGCATGATTTCATTCACTAATTTAATAAATAGCATCCCCTATAATACTTCTATAAACTAAAAAACACCTAATCTTGTATATTTTTCAGCATAAGTGTTATAGGCCAAATGTGCGAGAATGAGATAATATCTGAATGAACAATGTAATAGTCTATGAGATTAAAAGTTACAGGAATAATACCTCCATGGTAACACAGCTGAGAGGAAATGATGCAACAGAATGATGATTTGGAAAGGGCAGGGCTGAAGGATAAAATGAGACAGAATGATTTGAAAACAATTGAAATGAGAGTTAATCAATGAGACAGAGACATACAAGGTTATTTATATGTCAAACCAAACACAAGATCAACTAAAGTAAGAAGAAACATTAAGTGGGGGGGTGTCTTGGGTTTTGAGTCTGATGTCTGTTTAAACTAGAAGAATGAGGCAAAACCATAAGCTTTTTCAGGGACAGAGGCACATTAAGCTTTAGAATATGCGACACGAGCCTCGAGGTTTTGGATCCACGCAAAGTAATCAGTGTATGAGAATTTGAAATCATTGGCTTTGACAGGTCCAACATGGCTTTTTTTCCTTTTGACCGAAGCTGAGACAGAGAGAGGAAACGAAAAAAGAAAGAGATCAGATAAGAAATCTTGGATTTGATGACAAGTGCATACAGCATGTTGAACATCTGCCACATATCTTATATCTTGAATTTGTCAATTACCAAATTAAATTCTCGATTTGTAACAATTTATTTTCATAAACTCTCCTAAATATTTATATAGGTTCCAAGTGTTATTACATGAATTAAAATAAATTATAAATAAGTTCTTTCAAATGTAACCTTAAACCATTTGCCGGTTGTTGGCAATTTTATATTTTGTCCAGCCTAGATTGAATTTTACTGATTTTATCTTTTGATGGATATAAATGACATGCAGATTAGTAATGTTAGCTTCGAGGATTTGCCTAATAGGAGAAACAAACAAGTGAACAGTAAAATGGTTTGTCTGCAATATGTGCATGAATAAAGTGCATTAATTCTTTTCTTGTAATCTGACATATGGTATTTGATTTGGTTGATTGCGGAACACATTTAGCAAGGAAAAGGAAGTACAGATCAGAAAAAGAGAAAGGGAATAGAAACGTCTACTATGGAGACAATGAGAATGACAGCAGCAAACAGACCAAGCAACAAGTTTGGTATAGTTTATTTGGTTCATGTCCTTTTGCTTACCATATAGGTGTTGATGCTCGGTATACGAGGTTTCTCACACAACTTTTGGATTGAGGCCCTATCTTACCCCATTAAAAGAGAATTATTTGTGTAAAGAATAAAATTTTGACATCACCATAAATACAAAGTTACAAACTGTTGGAATTTCGATGATAACTTCATGCACTTAATTTACAACGTTAAAGGATCCTGGGCCCACATGTAATGCCTCCAATGTCTGTCTTAGGATTCTCTTTTGCTCAATACTATTGCTACTTGCTAGTCTTAGTTAAGGAAACTTTTTTTTTTGCTACATTATTTTCCTCTTTTTTTTTCATAAGAGAAGTTATTATGAAAAATTATTTGCTAAAGTAGTTGAACATTTATATTTCTTAATAAAAAAATTGAAGTTTGATCTCAATCTAAAATATTATATTACTTTACTTTAAAAATTAGTCAATTTTGTGAGAAGTTATATCTCTTATATAGAATAAATTAATTTTAACTAACTTTCTGTTCATAATTTTTCCTTTTGAATTTCAAACACTTGACAAAAGGATATATTATCACTATTATCTTTAATACATTCTCATGCACGTTCATTGTTATCAACCAAAATTTATAAGACTTGTAAAATTATTTTTTTTGTGAGAAACTTTATAAGACTTGTAAAATTATAAGTAAAATTTACCAAATAAACTTATTTTATTTTGTAAATTTTAATAAATTTCAATAAATACTAAAACAGTTCAATTTTGGTGTAAAAAAAACAGTTCAATTTTTACTTAATATTAATGCAAACTTTTTACATTATTAACTAATCAAAAATCACAATAAATATTACTTTTAAGATAATTATTGAAAAAAATCAAGAAAGTATGATTCATAACAATTTATAATTCGATGACCATGAGTTTTTATTTTACTTAAATATCTTTGAAATTTTTTAAATTTGGGCCAAACTTGTTCTTGATCCCTCTAATTTTTTTTTTAATTTTCTCTTTTGGGGGGGGGGGGGGGG